AGTTTTTGCTATCTGTGGTGTTTCTGGTGTTTGCAAAACTTCTTTTCGGTGAGAACATTTAAAAAAGAAGAAAAAACATATTTTATGAAGTACACTCTAAGATTATATTCGTGGAGGGATGAAAGTCGAGGAAAATAACGTGTATGAGATACAAACTGAATCACGTTTTTTTTTTACCCGCAAAAAGGAAGTTTGATAAGGATTTGAATTTTCCTCAGGACGATTGGTAGTTGGAGTTACTTTTTTGTATGGTCAGAAACGGTAATGGCTTCGACAAACTTTCTGAATGTTCAATTCTAAATAAAAGTAATTGAGATTATATATATGTGCCTACGTTTCTAGAGTTTCGGAGGGCTATGATGCCTTCTATTGAAAAATAAAAAATAAACCTAAAGGTTTGTTGGATTCTGAATGATCGAGGCTAAAGAGGTTGGATTGGGATTTTTAACACTCAACGACTATTTGAGAGTCAGTTTCAGATCCTGAGAAGGTTGGGCGCACAAAATATACATGAATATGTAACTGGTATTGATAACTCATTATATTTGGCAATTATATAAAAATAAAATAAATAAAGATGTGTAACAATTATTAGGATACACAACCCAAGAAAGTAGTCAGAAGTGGAGGAAAACAGGTGTAGAAGCCTGAAAAATTGGAGTCAGATTATGAGTGAGGGCTTCTTCAAAAGAGGATGGTCTAAACTATCATAAAATTAAATGACATGAAAAAGGACCTACACATACAGGGTAAACCAGAAAATCACGCACCATAGGGAAAACCCCGATGGAGCGTGATTAAACTGACTCAGGGGGATAAAAAGCATGAACGAGTTGAACCAAAAAGCACCAAAATTCAACAAAGATACATGTTTACGTAAAATATGAAAAAATTAATTTTATCTCATTTTTACGCACACGTGTATCTTTGTTGGATTTTGGTGCTTTTTGGTTCAACTTGTTTGTGATTTTTATCCCACTGATTCTGTGTAATCACGCACCATCGGGTTTTCCCTATGGTGCGTGATTTCATGGTTCACCCTGTATGTGTGTAGTGAGTTTCAACCAAGATGTTCATGCTGCAACCCACACAACACATTTTTATGAACGCTTTTTCAAAATTTGTAAAGGTGTTTCCAGACCAAAATACATACGTAATCATACAAAACTGTACATGTATGCTTATCAATAATTGATAAGGGTCGACGCTTCTAGTTTGTGTCTGCTGTTAGCCCCTGTGAGCATCTTGGTTGAAACGCACCATCAGTGGTACAATGCTCTTCATTAAGGCTCAGGCTCGATTTATGAAAAATTGATTTACGATATACAAACAATACAGCAATTATTACAATCATTAGGGCTATAGAAGCAACAATCCACACAATTACAGTACAGATGTTATTTCTTTCATTATCATTGTTTGAATTTGCAGGAGTAGGAATTACCTCCGGATTTGGGGTAGTTTCATTTAAGACTCTGCCTGTTGTTGAGTCTGCTCCTGTCACTTTTGCTGAGGCAGTGGATGTAGAGTTTGAATTATTTCCTGTCGTTGATTCTGTACCTACTACTTCTGTTGAGGCAGTGGATGTGGCATTTTGATCATTACCTGTTGTTGATTCTACACCTGTTACTTCTGTTGAGGCAGTGGTTGTAGTGGTTAGATTACTACCTGTTGTTGATTCTACATTTGTCACTTTTGTTGTGGAAATGACTGCAGTGGTTGAATCACTACCTGCTGTTGATTCTGTATGTGTTACTTCTGTTGAGGCAAAGGATGTAGCATTTTGATCAGTACCTGTTGTTGATTCTACATCTGTAACTCCTGTTAAAGCAATGGTTGTAGTATTTGAATCACTATCGGTTGTTGATTCTGCACCTGCTACTTTTGTTGTGGAAATGACTTCAGTGGTTGAATCACTACCTGCTGTTGATTCTGTATGTGTTACTTCTGTTGAGGCAAAGGATGTAGCGTTTTGATCAGTACCTGTTGTTGGTTCTACATCTGTAACTCCTGTTGAAGCAGTGGTTGTAGTGTTTGAATCACTATCGGTTGTTAATTCTGTACCTGCTACTTTTGTTGTGGAAATGACTTCAGTGGTTGAATCACTACCTGCTGTTGGTTCTGTATGTGTTACTTCTGTTGAGGCAAAGGATGTAGCATTTTGATCAGTACCTGTTGTTGATTCTACATCTGTAACTCCTGTTAAAGCAATGGTTGTAGTATTTGAATCACTATCGGTTGTTGATTCTGCACCTGCTACTTTTGTTGTGGAAATGACTTCAGTGGTTGAATCACTACCTGCTGTTGATTCTGTATGTGTTACTTCTGTTGAGGCAAAGGATGTAGCGTTTTGATCAGTACCTGTTGTTGGTTCTACCTCTGTAACTCCTATTGAAGCAGTGGTTGTAGTGTTTGAATTATTACCTGTTGTTGATTCTGCATCTGTTACTTCTATGGAGGCAGTGGTTATAGTATTTGAATCACTAACTATTGTTGATTCTGCATCTGCTACTTCTGTTGAGGCAGTGAGAGTAGTGTTTGAATCACTACCTGTTGTTGATTCTGCATCTGTTACTTCTATGGAGGCAGTGGTTGTAGTATTTGAATCACTACCTGTTGTTGATTCTGCATCTGCTACTTCTGTTGAGGCAGTGGAAGTAGTGTTTGAATTACTACCTGTTGTTGATTCTGCATCCGTTACTCCTATTGGGACAATGGATATAGTGTTTGAATCATTATTTGTTGCTGATTCTGCATCTGTTACTTTCATTGAGGCAAAAGATGTAAGGTAAAGGAATACACAGTGAAATACAATAGTAGATAGTGAAACATATAGAATATCTTTTTTGCTGTTGATGCGCCTGATCTAATCTCACAGGCAGATATGTCAAAATATATGGCTATTTTACCTTATGTTATTTTGATCAATTGGGATATTTTTAGTTTGGTTATCATAAAAATATTATTTTTTGGGGTGAAGGCAGCAACGCCAATCAATATTTTGATTTTTAATTCTTACAATTTATCTTTTTTGATAGAAACACTTCTTCAACTTGTCTTATTCTATAATTTTTTTATATGGCATTTTTGCTGAATGTGCCTACTTAAAAGAATAACTGAGGGTTGCAATTCTCTCCTACACCTCTCTCGATAGGTCCTAGGGTTTCATTGATCAATTTTTTTGCAAAAAGAAGGGGTTGAAAAATTGAATAATTTTAGTCGAAGATATTAAATAATTTTTCAACCATTTTCTTTTGCAAAAAAATTGATCAATGAGACCCTAGGACCTATCAAAAGAGGTGTAGGAGAGAATCGCAACCCTCAGTTATTCTTTTAAGTAGGCACATTCAGCAAAAATGCCATATTAAAAAATTTAACTGTTGCACTTTGATTTGCAACATCATGTTAAATGCATAAAGTTACAAAAATGTTGCAAATCAAACTGCAACATGCCAAATTTTA